CCAAAAACCTTCGGAATAACTTAATTAACAGTACCAAAACGTAACAAAAGCAAATAAGCAATCTCAAACACAACCGCTTAGCCTACTTTTATTGACATTCGTGGTTGGTTGGCTATGAACCCATGAGGCTAAAAACGTGCAGATCCAAGGACCACTTCTATGTATAGTATTTCGCCACCAGCCTAGCAAAATGCATGAGTCATATCATATTTTGTCTCTATTAATATACACTTGCGTAGACAATCTCCCAAGTCTTCCATGCTCTTTGGAGTCACAATTCATGTTATTATCAAATTCAATATTGATTCTTATATGTTATCCATGTTCCTAGATAGTACTTGTCAGTTATACAAAGTTAAGAATCTATAATCAACTAAAATTTGATTTTCGAGTCTATGCATCGTCTTCCTGTAAAAAAACATTATAATTTACTTTATTCATAGACTGTCAAACCATTTGAAAAAGACCTCTAATGGTGGGGTTTACCCTTATATAGTATACGTGGATGGTACCAACTCACCTAACTATTGGAGGGCCACACAACATGTGAAGTAGAATTCTACTTGGTTTGTGTTGGACAATCTTCTCAAGAACACAAAGTTGAAATAATCTTAGTTAAACCAACAAGAGAGATTATTTTAATGAGATATAGGATGTATTGGACAAAACTCGTTGGAAGTTAGAAGCTAAAAGTTGAACTTTTATTTGTATCTAACAAATATAGTTGTTAGACTTTAAAGCTATAAAATTACATAAAAACCAAAAGCTAAAAGCTCTGAAAACCTAGGATACACCAAGCTACTTGAAATGACTTTTGAATTATGAGTTTTCGTTAAAATTAAATGTTAAAAGTTCATATTGCCAAACAATATTTTTTTCGGGTTTTTTTTTAAAAACTTAATAGGGATATCTCCAGAAAAGTCCCAATATTTTGGGAAATTTTTTAATAAAGTCCTAAATTTTATTTTTTAAACAAAAAAATCCCGACTTTTTCAATTTTTGAATAGAAAGCCCAAAAAACCGACTAATTTATTCACTTTTGCCCTTTTGACCTATTTAGTAGGCCATGAGACCAAATTGTTAATTTTTCGAAAATAATGAGACTTTTCTGCAGATTTTGTCAAAATTTGTATAAAATGTCTAAACGTATTTTTTACGTATTTATATCTATTTGTACGTATTTATGTAATTTTTAAGTTTTTATTTATATATGTTTATGTATTTTAAATGTATAAACGTATTTTTTTACTTATTTATATGAATTTTTAACTATTTTATATATTTTTATGTATTTTTTATGTATTATGTATTTATATGTATTTTTACGTATTTATGTATTTTTAAGTTTTTTTATATAGATGTTTATGTATTTTAAATGTATAAACGTATTTTTTAAGTATTTATATGTATTTTTTTAAAGTATTTTACATTTTTTTTGTGTATTTTTACGTGTTTTTTTTATGTATTATGTATTTATATGTATTTTTCCGTATTTATGTATTTTTTTTAGTTTTTTATATAGATGTTTATGTATTTTAAATGTTTAATCGTATTATTTTTTACGTATTTATGTATTTTTTACTTCAAGTCGTCTTCACAATTTCATCTAATTCGCACAACTTCTTCGAGTATGTCTAGTTGGGTTTCCTACATACCCATATATTTTAAGCTTTTCCCATTCGATGTTTAATTTCAAGATAAGCGATTGGGAAAAGCTTAAAATATGTGGGTGTGTAGGAAAACCATCTAGACATACTCGAAGAAGTTGTACGATTTGGATGAAATGGTGAAAACGGCTTGAAGTAAAAAATACATAAATACGTAAAAAAAATACAATTGTACATTTAAAATACATAAACATCTATATAAAAAACTTTAAAAATACATAAATACATAAAAATACGTAATACATCAAAAAATACATCAAAATACATAAAAGTATGAAAAATACTTAAAAATACATATAAATATGTAAAAATACGTTTATATATTTAAAATACATAAAAATATATAAACATCTATAAAAAAAACTTAAAAAAATACATAAATATGTAATACATATAAAAATAATACATAAAAATAAATAAAAAATATGTAAAATAATTAAACATACATATAAATATATTGAAAAATACGTTTATAAATTTAAAATACATAAAAAATATAAACATATACATTTAAAAACTTAAAAATACATAAAAATATATATAAATACGTAATACATCAAAAATAACACATACAAATACATAAAAAATATGTAAAATACTTCAAAATACATATAAATATGTAAAAAATACGTTTATACATTTAAAATACATAAAAATACGTAAACATATACATATAAAAACTTAAAAAATACAAAAGTACGTAAAATAGTTATAAATACGTAAACAATACGTTTTTACATTATATACAAGTTTTGACGAAATCTGCAGAAAAGTCTCATTATTTTAGAAAAATTAACGATTTGGTCCTATGACCTGGTGAACAGGTAAAAAAGGGCTAAAGTGAATAAATCAGCCGGTTTCTTGAGTTTTTCTATTCAAAAAAGTTAAGAAGTCAAGATTTTTCTGTTCAAAAAATAAAATTTAGGACTTTATTAAAAATCTTCCCAAAAATATTGAGACTTTTCAGTATATTTTCCAACTTAATACTAAAGGCTTCCAAAAGATCTGTACAGAATAGTCCATAAACTGAAGCATTCCCGCTTTTTGAAGTTTATACTTTAATAGTAGTGATTTTGTGAACTGAACAATTTTTATTTGGTTTTAGATTATATGGATCAAACTGAATCATAAGTTTTTTTTAGAATTTAACTATACCAATCCGGTTAGTTTGGAATTGGTTAATTGGTATATGGTGTAAATAAATTCTTGTAAATATTTACAATTAATTCGAATACAAAATAAATAAATATGTTCTTTTCGTATAGTTACATAAAAAAGCTAACGTGTGGTTCTTATTTCTAACAAACAAATATTATTTAACACAGGACTGATATGGATATTTAGTTTGGTTTTGTTCAACATATGAAATGATTGTAAACCAAATCTTTCAGCTTGAATTGCTTTAAGTTCCTGTTAGCCAAAACCAGAATGCAAAATGATTTATTTTAAATTAGTTTATTGTTACATTTTATGATTGTTTCTGAAAATCCGTATAACAGTGTGTATTTGTTGCCTATCATTTCTTGCCAAATAATAAATCTTCAAATAGTAGCTAGATTTTCTTATACTTTTAACAACTCAATAAAAAATCCCGACAAAAGAATCTTCATGAGCACTCTTATTCTTTAATCCAATAAAAAGAATATATAATGATGTCTATACTTATCCATACTAACAATAGAATAATCAAAAGTTATATCAAACACCCTATTAAAATCTATGACAGGTACGGAATAATAAGCAACATTTTGAAAACATATAAGAAAATATCTGAAAGAACCTATAAGACAATATTGAAATCAATTTAGTTCACATCATGTGGGGCCTATAGGACCAACCCCTAATTTGACAAGTATTAGAATGAATTCCATGAATTTAAATCCCAATTTTTCTTGCACAATATTCATACAAGACACCATTAGAGGTGGCTTGTTCCAAGTGAATTTCCTCACTAAACTCCACAGGAAGCCACTTCAATAATCAACCATAATAATTCACTAGAACTCTTTAAAACCCAACTTTTTTCCTGCTCTTTTCTTCACTCAAACCAAAAAGATCTCAACTTTAAAGCAAACAAATGGATCTTGAAGATGAAGGGTGGGTGAACATCAACATACCATATGATGGGCTTCTTGAAGTTCATGATGATGTTTTTTCTAGAAAGTACGTGAGGAGTCCCAAGAATCCTTTTAGAATGGATTACTTCAATTCCTCACGAAAATCCCAAGAATTCGTCGACTCGTCTTCAGAAGAAGAAGAATCAAGATTACAAAAACAATTGATTCCTCTCCAAATTCAAATGAAAGATCATCAAGTTGTTGATCATCATGAAGAGGAGGTGAAAGAAATCACCAAACTTCCAATTCTGATCAACAACGAGCTCAAAGAAGCTCCAGAAGCGGATCTTGATCCGATCTTCCAAGTTTTCTTTAAAAAAGAAAACGAATTTGTCGAAATGAAACTAGATTCTCCAAGATCAGGTTCTCGGAGAATCATGTTACCTTATACTGAAACAGACGTGTTTCAGTATGAGGATGAAAGTGATGATCATATGTTCAATGGATCATCACCATCAAAAGTTGTGCTTGATGAGGTTGATAAGGTGACCAAGGAAGAAGGCAATATTTGGAAATGGGGTTTGAATGGGATTGGTGCTTTTTTCTCTCTTGGTATGGCTGCTGCCACCATTTGCATAATCCTTTTTGGAAATGGCCAAAGGCACAAACAACAAAAGTTCAGGATCCAAATCTACTCTGATGACAAGGTTTGATATTATTTCTTGCTTATATTCTTGAATTTCTATATAATAAAACCATTGATCATCATAAAGATAATTATACTTATAAATTGTGTATATATGAACGGATTTGCAGAGGATAAAGCAAGTGGTTCATCAAGCAAATGAGGCAATGTCAGCAGTGAGAGGAGTCCCTTTGACCACAGCCCATATCACATACGGGGGATATTATGAAGGTCTTTAGTGTAAAATTAGCATCTAATTATTAAGAAATCTTGATATTATTTACTTTATGAATTATTGTATTTGATTTTTATTGCAACCTAATAATCGTTGTTTACGAAAATGACAAGAATATTAACTATACTTTGCAAGAATGGCCAATGATGGGCAAATGGAAATGTAAATGCAAAATGTTATTCTTGCAAAGTGTTGTGTTCTTTTTGTATTTTCGAAAAATGATGATTTGTTTGCGGTAAAAGTCGAATAAAGGTTCAGAAAGTGTATATGTTTATAGAACGTTCAGTTATGTGAATAAAATGTATATATTTGGCATCTTTGGTATAAATGTTATGATTACTTGATAGTGTAACACATTATATGTTATTAGTCTTTAAACATTATTAAGTTTAAACCACTTAATAATCAATACATATTTTATTACTTTATAATTAAGCTTGTACTGTTAATTCATTGAATATGTATATGTGATCTCAACTGATAAAGTTTGGCATAATGGGCAGGTTAAGTGAGAATACAACACATTTATCCATTAAGAACTCATTTTTATGGGTGTTACCTTTTTCTCACATTTTTTTTTATTAATTATGTTTTTAAAAATTGTAATTAGTTATTTACAAATATATTTTATAATATATCTTAATTAAATAATCATTTTTTATTTAGTATGTGACTAACATATATTCAAAAGTATATTTATAGATTCAACTTTATAATTTTTTTTATAAGATCAAGTGAGATTTCTAACATTTATCTAGTAAAATCACATATTAAAAGTTATAAGTTTTTTTTTTTTTTTTTTTTTTTTTTTTTTTTGTTAAGATGAATATTATAAAAGGTAGCTAGGAGCTAGCAAAAATGAACGATACAAACTAGTTTATAAGCAGATTATGCGTTGACATATTCCAATTCATACTAGTCTTACTATTTCTATTACAAACCAATTAAAAGAAAATGAAACCACAGAGTGAAAAAACTAATTTTTCTGTAAGTTTTGTCACCAAGTAACAACACATTCTGGTAGGTTCATAACACCCATATCAAGCAAACCGAATCCAAAATCAAGCAACAAAAGTTGGCGACGACATGAGCGTCCACCCAATCGAACATACCCAAAATGTTATCAAAGTCTAGGTTTACTTTATCAATCCACACAACAACATGACTTCACAACTGAAAAGTCAAAGAACACTCGAAGAAAAGATGATCCCTACATTCAACAACATCTTGAAAACACTGTCATAAGACCGAATCCACCTCAATACCCCACATATCTAGATTACCTCTTGTTAGGCACGCGATTCAACCCAAATCGTTAAGCAAACACATTAATCGTAATCGACACAAATTTGTTGCACCGCATAGCATAAGTACTACTTGACAATGTTCCTAGGTCGAGATGTAGCCTAGTAGAGCTAAACGAGAAGATACCAGACCCCTCCAAATCCTATCTCTATCTATTATGCTCAGCCACAAGGTGTACCGAATCCAGAAAAACCATAAGTTTCTCCAACTGTTCTTCCTCGTTCCCACCACAGATTACCATATTCCATGCTATGTGTCACCCCTTCAAGGACCAATAATCACTAACACAAAAATTCTGATTAGCATCCAATGCAAACAGCCTCGAGAATTATGACTCGAACATATAGTTACCGCACCAAACATCCAAACAGGATCTAATGTCTATGCCATCTCCCACCTTTCTGCTAATAGATGATAAAGGCAACAACCCCCGACTGTTTGCTTTAGTATCATTTTTATAATATTAGGCCAAACACCACCTTTGTACTCATGAGTTCTAGACCCAACAAACCATCGTCATCACCATTACAACTTTTAATAAGTCTAGCCCATAAATGGTTAGACCTATTAAGAAACCTCCATCTCTACTTATAGAGCAAATCCTGATTTAAAGCACTAAGTCTTCCTACAAAGAGACCTCCATACTCATTTTTGTTAAGAATAAGGTTTCACTTAATCCGATGAAGCTTCCTATCTTGATCCTCTATACCTTAAAAAATCACGACCTACACGATTTAGGTTGCCTAGAAACTGTAACTGGTAATCTGAGAAGGGACATGTAAAAAATCCCTAAGCTTCCTAACACTAGTTTCACAAGAGTAAGGTGCTATTTGTTTTTTCTAAGGCAAAATGTATGCAGTCCGTAGACCACATCTACAGACCTCTACAGTACTCAGTAGAAGTGGTGGACCAAAGTCTGCAGTCTGAAAGAAGAATACTGTTTGTTTTTATAATCTGCAGGCTGCTATAATAAACTAAAATCTATTTAAACTGATTTTTTTTAAACTTAAAAGAGTTTTTCAATAGTTTTATGACTTTATTATAGATAATTAACAAATGCACATCAACTTTTATTTATTATTGTATAAAAAGTGAAAATAAAATGGTACGAATTAACACACACACACACACACACACACACATATATATATATATATATATATATATATATATATATATATATATATATATTAATAATAATAATAATAATAATAAAAACCAACAAACTTTGGTCGAAAATCTATACCTAAACATTGTAATTAGAGATCTTAGAATTTAACACATAAAATGGATGGAAATAAACTTTGATTTTAAATAAAATTTTTTATTTTAAATTTTCAATTAAATCAATTAAAACCTAGCCTTAAATATTTTTTCAAGAAATGAATGATAATTCATTAAATAATGTTTTATAAAATTTGGTACAAAAAATATAAGACAATATTAGGTTTTCTTTCATATCTATATAAACAGCTCCAACGACCATTATTATCATTAAGTCTTTATTTATAAATTTGTCACAAAGTTCGTGATTGTGTCGTCGAACCATTTTTTAAGTATTGTAATTTTTTTTTCTAAATATCATAGATAAATTTGGAATAAATCTAAGTTTTTTTTAAAAAAAAAACAAAGATATATGTGTTTTTTAGGCTAGAAGATGTCTGAAAAGGGTTGAAGACTCTGGTCCACATCTACGCCAAGAAGAGGACGTGTAAGCTTTTTTAAGTCTGCAGTCTTCTAAAAAACAAACAGTCTACGGAGCCTAATGTATGTGCATAGTCTGCGTGGCGTAGATAGAAGATGCCAAGAAGATCCGCAAACAAAAAACAAACAACACCTAAGTCTTCCACCTATAAACATCATCTTATCCACTTCGACAACCCCTTCTTAAATATATATCAATCAACGAACCCAAACCCATCATATAATTCATTTTTACCCAATTGGAAGACCCAAGTAAACAAACGTGATAGAATCAACCCACACCTAGTATAAGATGCCAAATTATATATCGTTGCATCAGTCACCCCAACCATATAAATCTTTAACTTTTGTAAATTAATTTGTAGTCCAGAAACCAAATAAACCAACATGGGTAAACAAATGAACATCTAAACATTATCTCTACCCTCCCCCTCACACACACACACACACATAAATATCACGTTATTTGCATAAAAAATGAGACATCATCAATTGGGGGTCGCCAATTAGGATCCCTCAAAATATTGATTGTTGCCCAACATTCTCCATAAAAAAATGAAATCCCTCTGTGAAAATAATAAACAAGAACGGAGACAACATGTCTCCCTGTCTCAATCCTCGTTGCACATGGAAATCCTTAGTATGACTATTATTCAACACCACAAAACATCTAGCTGAAGCAAGACAACCTTGGATCGACTTCCTCCATAAAGACTCGGACCCCATAATCCCCAACATACAATCCAAGTAATGATGTGATAAGGAATTGCAAGCATTCTCAAAGTCGACTTTAAATGACATCATCTTCGATTTTCTTCTTTTCACCCAACTAATGACCTCGTTCACCTTTAACAAGCTATCAAGGATTTGAAGCCCCATAATAAAAGTTGACATGCATTTACTATATAACTACATTTAATTAATTAAAAAGGTAAAATTGTAAAAATGGTTAATAATATATTTGGAAATTTCGAATTATAAGCAAGATGGTTAGCACTTCTCTCACTTTTTTTTAGGCAAAATGGATATATATATATATATATATATATATATATATATATATATATATATATATATGGAATTAATAAAATTTACGTTTGAAATTTTCAAATGATTTCCATATTTTCATCTCTTCACAATACTCACATAATTAGTTCTTAAAGCATACCAAAATGTTGCAATACTCACTGAATTATTAAAGAATAAAGTGTTTTTAATCAATTATTAATCCAAATACAACATACTATTCTTAAAGAGTATTCTAATGTAGAATTGTTTAATGAATTCTTAACGAATACATTGTTATACAACTATTATTATTCGAACGCAACACACTATAAATAAATTAAAATTGCAATTCTTAAAAAATACCCTAATCAGTTGTTTACCTAGCCCAATATTCTTGAAGAATTCCTAAATAACTATTTACATAGATCTATATACAGATAGGATCATGCATCCTCTTGTACAAGTTGAGCTTGTATATATTCTAGTTGTTGTTGTTGTCGTGGTAGTGGTGCTTGTACTATACCTACAATTACAACAAATATCATTAGTAGCATACAACACTGAAATAAATAATCCATTTATAAAATCGTAATTCTTTATGAATATTTTACATGGTATTCATGTTAATTATCACAAAATATAAAATTTCTATTATATGATGTGAAAACGATACAAATACATTCTGTAAGTAATTATCATGTATGGATAAAAAACAAATCATTCTTGTTGAATACATAGACAAAAGAAACATACACATTTTTGTAGAAAATATGATTTCAAATTCCATTCTTTCATATTTTTAACAAATAAATAGTTAGCATCTGATTTATTCTTAAAGAATAAGTCATGTTCAAAAAATTAAGAACAACTAATGGAGATATGTGTAGATGAACAATCCTAACTAGAAACAAACAAATACACACCAATGAAATATGAAATTAAAGAACCTATTAAATTGATATAAGATTCTAAACAAAAACAATTTGTAACAGAAACCTTTGAAAAGTAGAAAGAATAAATAAAGGGAAATAAAACTTTTACATAACACACAATTGAAACAACAAAATTAATAGTAAAAAGAATAAGCAAAATGTAATTCTTGAATCTGTAATTGAAACCTTATATAAGTGGCGGTGGGTCTTTAAAGACAATAAGGAAAAAGTAAACAAAGAAGCAAGTATCCTCAAATCTTTAAAAGACAAAAGTTGATGATTTGTAAAGATATTATGAAGTTAATTATCTAAAACATTTTTCATCCCCTTATTGTTCGTAGAATACTGTAACTTAATTACTAGCATCTGAAGTTGGTGATTTGTAAAGATATGATGAGGTTTCTTAG